GTACTGAAGAATTTTAAGAAAAGAGTAACATCACTGTATTTGTAGTTTAGAAAATGACTCTTATGACTAGTATGAAGTGATGTTCTTTTAACTCCAGGAAAGTTGTCCAGTTACAAAGTTACTGCAAAGTCCAAGTGAGAAATAGTGAGGGTCTAAATGTAGGGTAATGCCAGAGAACCTGGAAAGGAAATGACAGATTTATCAGATACTAAAATGGTGAATTTGTCAGGATGGGATGACTGTCCAGTGAGTAGGATGATTCCAAGTTTCTGGATTAAATAACTGCATGGATGGTGGGGCTGTTGACCAGAGTAGAGAGTTGTTGTTGTTGTTATGTGCCATCAAGTCAGACCCGACTCATAGCGACCTCTCCTTGGGTTTCCAAGGCAGTATCACTATGGAAGTGGGTTGCCCGATCTTCCTTCCGAGGAGTGGCTGGTGAGTTTGAACCACCAGACTTCTGGTTAGCAGTTAAATGCCTTAGGCACTATGCTACCAGAGCTCCTGAGTACTTGTTAGAGGTGCTGATTTCTTAGGCACCTACAGAAGGAGAAACCCTGTGGGTGGAGGCTGGGTTTTAACAAGCCCTCTAGGTGTCATTAGGGAAAATGCAAATCAGAACCAGTGAGATACTACTTCACCCCCACTAGGATGGCTGTTACCAGGAATATATAAGCGTTGGTGAGGCTGTGGAGAAATTAGAACCCTGGTCCATTGCTGGGGGGAATTTGTTCTAGTTACCTAGTGCCGCTCTGACAGAAATACACCACAAATGGAATGACTTGAACAAACAGGAGTTTATTCTCTCACAGTTTGGAGGCTTTAGTGGCTAAGTCACTTGACTGCTAACCAGAAGGCTGGCGGTTCAAACCCACCAGCCACTCCTCAGAAGGAAGATGGGGCAATCTACTTCTGTATTGATACTGCCTCGGAAACCCAAGGAAAGGTCGTTATGCGTCGGGTCTGACTCAACAGCACAGAACAACAAGAAGACCAAGTTCACAGTGCCAAGCTCTAGGGGCTTTGTGAAAGCCCCTCGACCTTGGACTTCAGCTCTGCCTCTTGCTCCCGGCCCACTGAAGCTAGAGGCATCTCTTCACTCAGGCAGCTACTGGCTGCTGAGGCTAACAAACCCAAGGTCGACAGACAAAATGGCACAGTCCTAATGTTACCAAACCACACGGCAGGCCATTAATTCAAGTCCTTTGTAAGTCCCAAAGTAAGCAGAGCATGGCAAGCTGCTGAACAACAACGCGGCTACATGCAGGGTCCAAGTGTGCCATAAGCTAGAGACCATTCCCCAAGCTGCTGCTTATATACGGGAAGCAGACCACATACCCAAAGGCAGCTACTCAGCTGCTCACAGTAGATTCCACCATGGAGCTGATTACCAGTCTCATCATGGGGAATACTATATCCAGCTGCCCGGCCACTCAACCAGGCCCAACCAAGTAGACACAAAAACATAACCACCACAGAATGTGAGATGGTACAGCCGCTGTGAAAGACAGTTTGGTGTTTCCTCAAAAGGCTACACATAGAGTTGCCACATGATGCAGCAAGCCCACTTTGGGATATTTACCCAAAAGACCTGAAAGCAGATGTACAAATAGATGTTCATAGCAGCATTATTCACAATAGCTAAAAGGTGGAAACAACCCAAGTGTCCATCCACAGATGAATGGATAAACAAGGATGGTATATATACACAATGGAATATCACTCAGCCAATAAAAAGAAATGAAGTTCTGGTGCATGCTATGACATATGTAAACCTTGAATATGTAAAGACACAAAAGAAAAAAATATTGTACCGTCCCACTTACATGACTACCTGGAATAGGCCACTGCATAGAGATGGAAGTTTCTTCGTGGTTACTAGGGCCTGGGTTAAGGAAGAATGGGAAGTTATTACTTAAGGAGTACTGAGTTTCTGTTCGGGATGATGAGAAACTTTGATAAGTAAATAATGGTGATGTTTGCACAATGTGGTGAATGTGATTAATGCCACTGACTGGCACACTTAAAAATGGTTACAGTGAGAATTTTTTGTTGTATGTATTTTACCATAGTAACTTTGTTTTTAAACATTTTCTGTTACCCTTCAAGTACCATTTATGTTGTCTTTAATAACATTCTTTTATATCATTACACCCTTTTGTATTTACTCAACATCTTTCTTGAAAGATTCCCCCAAACCTTTCACACGTTTTACTTACCCTAATGGATTAACTATGATAAAAAGGACTAATTAGTCTTATCAGCTCTCACAATTGCTCAGCATTCTAGAATGAAATCTAGAAATTATGTCTCCCAGTAAAGTAACGTGTGTAATAGATGTTGCTGACCCCAAACCAGATAAGGGATTATGTTAATAAGAGAGATGAATGTGCTATCTTTTTTCTGCAATAAAGCTTGATGGAAAATGCTAGCTGAACACGCCGCCTTGTGCTGAATGGGCTCTTTTCTGCTGGTTGCATTTAGGGGCATTGTCCAGTCAGAAGAAAAACTTGTCATCAGTGCATCGTGGGCAAAAGATGATGACATCAGCAGACTCTTGAAATCTCTACCAAACTGGATTAATATGGCTCAACCCAGACAGCTGAGACCAAAGAGAGAAGAGGAAGAAGATTGTATAAGGTAAAAGGTCTGAGTTGTTTGAAATGTAGAGGTAAAAAACAGTGTTTCCTTAGTTCAGTCTTATGGGAAATTTCTAATTATCAAGCAACAACTAAATGATTGAACATAGTTAAAGTCTGTTTTCATCATACCTCACAGTATTTCCTGTGCAAGTATACCTAGGACTTAAATAGGGAGCGTTGCTAAATCAGGTGAAAACACCTTTCAATTTTGGTTTGTACATCATTCTTCCCTCTTAGGGGAAAAACTCATTCATTCACTCAGCAAAGCTTTTTTTTTTTCTTAACCCTATTATGTGCCGTATCCTGGAAACGTGACAATTAGGAAGATAAGGTCTCTACCCATACAGAGTATGTTATGATTGCTCTCAGTGTATTTTTCAGTTCATAGAACCGTTAGGCTCACCCACTGGAAATAAAAATGTGCTTCCCATGTTGGTTCAGGTACATGTTGTCACTGGCTGTGTTCTACATGTTTCACCCAAACTGGAGTCTCTCACCTTTACCACCCAACACTTCCCTTGCTATGTTTTAAAATATGACTTAGCTAAGAAATTGTGGTCTCATTTGATGAAGGGACTTATTTCCACAAGGCTGGCTTGCCTCACTGAGGCATTCTCACCTCTACCATTTTAGGAATGAATAACCAAACACCAAACCAAATTCACTGACATTGAGTCGATGCCAACTCATACCGAGCCCCATTGAGTTTCAAGGGCTGTAAATCTTTATGGAAGCAGACTGCCCCATCTTTCTTCCACAGAGCAGCTGGTGGGTTCAAACCACCAACTCGTGGTTAGCAGCTAAATGCCTTAACCATTACACCACCAGAGCTCCTTGACATGGGTAAAGTGGGAGAGAAATGGAGGTGATGTTTTGTCCCATCATAATTAGGTTTACTTTTCCTGTTTTTTGCTAGCCAAATGAATAGATAGTGAAGATGAAATAAGATAAAAGCACTTTGGAGATGCAAAAACCAAAAAAAAAAAAAAACAGAAATGAAAAAAGGTAATGGTCCGTATTTCTTTTTAATTCATCAGAAAACAATGAGCTCGTCTCATTTTCAGAGTGTCTATTGTAGTTGTGGATAAATAGGTCTTTATATTCACAAACTTAACTATATTTACACACTATAGCGTCAGTTTTAACTGATGTTTTGTTGTGAAAATTTTCTGTAGCATCATTTTAAACTTTGTCAAAACCATGATATTCAAAAGGTAACCTGCAATTTAACCCTTAATTTAAACTTTCATATTTCTGTTTCTCTTTCTTAGTATTACATTATCTCAGAGGAATTTGCCAGCTCATGACTAATGAAGTTGAGCACCCTCTTATGTGTTTTTATGTATTTATGGGCCATTTAAGGAGTTCTGGTAGCTCAGTGCCTAAGGCATTTGACTGCTAACCAAAAGGTGAGTGGTTCAAACCCACCAGCCACTCTGCAGAAGGAAGATGAGGCAATCTACTTCCATAAAGATTTACCACCTCGCAACCTAATAGGGGTCATTATGAGTCAGAATTTACTTGTTGGCAATGGGTTGGTTTGGTTTGACTTGGTGTGGCCATTTGGATATCCTCTTTCATGACATTTATTCACGTCTATTGCCAATTTTTTATTAAATTGCCTGTCTTTCCCTTAGGAAAAAAAACCCACTGCCATCAAGTCAGATCCGACTCATAATGACCCCTCCTTGGGTTTCCAAGGCAGTATCACTATGGAAGTAGATTGCCCAACCTTCCTTCCAAGAAGTGGCTGATGGGTTTGAACCACCAGCCTTCTGGTTAGTAGTCAAATGCCTTAGGCACCACACGACCAGAGCTCCTTCTTTCCCTAAGGTTTATAGAAATTTTATTATGTAACTAGATGTAAGTCTTATTGTCACATACAATATCTTCTCCCACTTTGTCCGTAGTCTTTTCACTGTCTTAACCACAGTTAAGCGCTTAACTACTACTAGAGGCTCTTTGGAAGACAGCCCTGTGACCTGCTTCTGAAAGCCCACAGTCTTGAAAACCCTCTGGGTTTCCAGTCCTGCTCTGCACACGTGGGGGAACCATGGGCTGGAGTCCGTGTGATGGACATTGGTTTATTGTTGGTTTTCTTTTCAGTAACTTTAATAGTTGAGTTAGACACAATTTCCAGAAAATGTAGCGCACATATACCCCACTCAACTTTGTAGTTTCCTTTAAATAAATGTGATCCTCCTCCCTGTTCTGAGTTTATTGTTGTGTAACTTCTAAAATGTATTTTATACTGGCCAAAGGACTGTGCCAGCTCTGAGTTCCCTCTCGATAGCCTATAGTTGCAAAGGGAAAGGACTTCCAGCCTGATTACAGGAAAGAGAATGGGGAACCACCTCAGACTTTGCATTTAGAAGAGCTAGCATTAAGGTTTGGGCTTTGTTCACTCTTACTGTGTTCACTGACAATACCACCTTTTGTCTTAAAATTTGATGGCAAAACAAATTATGCCCTTTCTTTTCTTTTTTTAAAGTTTTGGTAAGGTACAACATACGTGAAGTACAGTGTAATCTTAGGTATAGAACTCAGTGAATTGCTGTATATAATTGCACTTATGTAACCACTTCCCAAAGAAAATTACAGTGCTTCCTAGTGCTCCAGAAGTCCTGGCCCCCGGAACCCACTGATCTGACTTTCATCAGCACAGGTTAGCTTCGCCTGGCCTTGTATTTCCACAAACAGTTAAGCACTCAACTACTGGCTGAAAGGTTGGCGGTTCAAACCCACCCAGAGGCCAGAATCATAGTGTCTGGCTCCTTTTGCTAAACATCACGTATGAGAAACTTATCCGGGGTTTTTTCATGGAGACGTAACTCAAGAACTCTGTTTTAACAGAAGAAAATTGACTTTACCAGCCTGCTTTATTTAGTATGTGATTGATCCTTCCTAAGCTGCCACATTCTCTCTCCTGATTAGAAGGTGAGAACATAGCGAAGTAGGAGGGTCCCTCTTCGTGGATACACCAACGTGGCTGAGTTGACAGAGAGCCTCGATTCAGCAAATTAGAGCCACAGAGCATGGCAGGAGCCAAAAGGACTGAACAGTCCTGCTCTCCACCTAGAATTCATTTGTAAAGCTCAGAGGGCTATTTGGATGAATGTAGGATCTGGTGCCCTTTGCACTGAATGAAGGTTATGTTCCCTTCATTACTAAATGAGGCCATTTCCTTTTCTTGTTTTTTTAACTAAAAAATAATATGTATTATTTCTCGGCTGCCTTTGAATAGAGGAAAAATAGGTCAAACCAGGGTTTTATTAAAAAAAAGAAAAATAGCAAATATCCTTTTGTTCGCAGAGAGCTGAAAGCAGGCTTGCTAGTCCGTCGTCTTCACACCTGCCATGTATATGCATGTGTCCATCTTTTTGAGATCAGTGAGTCTCCAGTGATAAAAGGGAGGCCTGCTTTCTGAAGGTGTTAATAACAAAGCTGGAAGGGGGAGGGGAGGGGCCGTGTAGGAGGACATGTGTGTTAGAAAAGCTGCCCAAAGTGTGTCGCTCACCCCCATTTCACTCAGAGCCTTTGAATTCAGACAGTAAGAATCACTTCTTCATAGCCCGGTTTGAAAATCCTTAAATGGAAAGGAATTGATTGGCAGGCCCAGCACCAGAGATTCAGGTGATAAAGGCCAAAGAGTACATAAAACCTACAAATCAGCCTTGAACTCTAGTGGGCAGCCGTAAGCGAGGAAGAATTCAGTTTCTGGACAGATTGTGTGATCTGTTTCAACAGTCACAACCATAATAGCTGACAGTGCCACATGACACAGCAGCATTGTGAGTTTCAGGGACTACTGCCTTTCTCATTCAGTGATGAGGAAACTGAGGTTCAGAGAAATGAAGTGACTTCCCCAAGTGTGTGGCACCAGTGGACAACAGAGCTGTTTGACCCCTGAGTGTCAGGCTCCCAGGGCCACC